GTAAAGTGTTCTAGTTTTTTACGAACTATACTCCTCTCTCTCTCTCTCTCTCTCTCTCTAGCTTGTCATGCAACAGCTCTCTCTCTCTAACCATGTCATCTATGTCTCTCTTTCTCTCTCTAAATCAATCGAGTTTTTCACTTTTTGAATGTGGCTCTCCAAGCTAAAGTATGACCCCATTTACATGACTTTATTCTCATGGGTATTTGCAAATTGTTGGACCGCCTGTCTTTGGTCCATTCAAAGCTTCTAATTTTTGCATGGGGATTCTTCTGCTTGTAAATACAATTATAATAATGATGAGAGTATCTAAATATCTAAACAATAATTTAATCCAAAGCAAAGTAGGAGAGCAGTTGCTTTTCCTTTTCTCTTTCCTTCTCCTTTATGGGATTTCGGATTTTGAATGGACTCAACCGTGGTCTAAAGACCAAAAGTGTTCAAAATTGGTTGTCATTGTAGCATGGCTTTCAATTAGAACTTTACCCTTTACAACCCCACTATAACAACACTCGAGGGTGAACCTGTGCCTATCCCCTGGACCGATCTATGTATTATCAATAAAAGGTTCAGGCTATCCCCTGCACCGATCTATGTCACAAAAAGGAATCCTTTTCTTTTTTAATATTTAGAATTTTCATGAGCAACTATTGACTTTAAAAACCCTTTAAAATCTTTGTCCCAACATACTAAAAATTGGGATTGTCTATAAAAAGATCATTTATCTTTTGTACATAAAAATCACAATCGTTCTCACTCATTAAATGTTAAATTGGATAGCTTGAAGATTGGTCACAAAGTCCAAGAATTTTTTTTTAAAAACTCGATGTCTATTCAATGACACTCTTACAACCAGCCATTTTGAAATTTAAGGGACAAAAATGAATATAACCTCTATGTACAAGAGATAAATAGTCTATTTGTAGAGAATTATATAAATATATAATCTAAAGTTCACAACCCTTCAAATTATAAAGATTAATGATAGAATGAGTTGTGAAAAGTGAATTTACTAACTTTGTGTTTTATTTTATAAAAAAATAAATAAAATTTCAAAATACTAACTGCCAAAATACCATTATATTTTTGTAAAAATTTCAAATTTACCATGATAAAGTTAACTATTTAAATAATTTTTTAATTCAAAAGTAATGATCGTATCTCGAATGAGGTGTGAAAAGTGAATTTACTAACTTTGTAGTTCATTTTACTGAAAAAAAAAAAATATTAGTTCTTATGATATCTTCAACATTAAATAAAGATAATTTTGAAAATATCACTTCAAGACAAAGGATACTTAACCCTGAAATTTTTACCAAAGGACAATGGCACTCTATAAATAAAATTTCAAAACACTAACTTCCAAAATGCCATTATACTTTTATAAAAATTTCAAATTTACCATGATAAAGTTAACTATTTAAATAATTTTTTAATTTAAAAATAATGATCGTTTTGATAAATACACATATCACAACTCCTAACATTAACTTTTATATTTTGAAAGGTTGTTAACTCTAGAACAAATCATATATATATAGGAAAAATATTCTGTCAGCCCAAAGGCGTACTGCTACAGTAAAAACCAACGGCTCAAATTGAATCTGAACCGATTTGACGATCCCAAATATCCGGTAGTGTTTGAATTTTAATTTTTTTTCTACAAGTCGGATTGATCTGAAATTTAACACGTGTGTACATAAAAAATAGGTGAATCTTCGAAAAATATAAAAAAAATATTTTGCATGAAAAAATTGACCAAAATACCCCTATAAAGTTTCAGGGGTATTTTGGTCAATTTATTTTACGGATTATTTTTTTAATATTTTTATTAAGTGCGCCTTTATGAAAAGAATATACTTTAAAATTTTAAGTGATTTGGATTTATATGAAAAAAAATAAAATTCAAACACGCGAAAAGGTCGTGACCGTCAGATCAACCTAGATTCAATCTTGGCCATTGGCGTTTATTGTAGCGGTCAGCTAG